ATGAGCAGTGGGGTTGATGGTCCTGTGGCTGTCAGTGTTGCTGACAGTAGAGACAGTGTCTCTGAGTTCTGCTTAAGTGCTGGTAGCTAATGGGAAGTTCTAGTTCAGAAAACATACTATGTATATGAATATTATTTGAAATTATGGAAATCTATAAACAATATTTTTCTAAAAGATTTATTCAGCATTGGGAGTGGGGGGAGTGCGGGTAAAAGAAAAACAAGTCAGTTACTTCGTAGTAAAGGAGAGAGAGATAATCAGATCCAGGTGAAGGGAAAAGGGAGAATGCTGTCTCATCTCTATTTCCTTTGACTTTTAGGTCCTCCTTTTTTTTTTTCCTTTTTTTCTCAGCTTCATTGAGATATAATTGACACATAACATTGGGTAATTTTAAGGTGTACCAGTGTTGATGTGATACATTTATAAGTTGTAAAATGATTACCATCATAGTGTTAGCTACAGCTTTCCTCCTGGCACTTAGTTACTAATTCTTTTTTGTGGTGAGCACATTTAAGATCCACTCTCTTAGCAACATTCAAGTATATGATACAGTATTATTAGCTATAATCATCATGGGGTACGTTAGATCCCCAAACCTGATAATCTTATAACTGGAAGTTTGTACCCTTTGACCAGTATCTCCCCATTTTCCCCCACCCCTCAACCCCTGGTAATCACCACTTGACTCTCTGTTACTCTGAGTTTGTCTTTTTTAGTTTCCACATACAAGTGATATCATATAGTATTTGTCTCTCACTTATTTCACTTAGCATAATGCCCTCAAGGTCCATCCAAGTTGTTGCAAATAGCAGGATTTCCTTCTTTCTCATGGCTGAATAAGATTCTATTGTCTGTATATATCACATCTTCTTTATCCATTCATCCGTTGACGGACACTTAGTTTATTTCCATATCTTGGCTATTGTGAATAATGCTGCAGTGAACTTGGGAGCACAGATATTCCTATGAGATCCTGATTTCGGTTTCTTTGGATAAATTCCCAGAAGTGGGATTGCTGGATCATATGGTAGTTCTGTTTGTGAGGTATTGAGGACCTTCCATACCGTTTTCCATAGGGGCTGCACCAATTTACATTCCCACCAACAGTGTACAAGGGTGCCCTTTTCTCTACATCCTCACCAACACTTATCTCTTGTCTTTTTGATAATAGCCGTTCTAACAGGTATGAGGTGATAGCTCATTGTGGTTTTGATTTGCATTTCCTTATGACCAGTAATGTTGAGCACCTTTTCATCTACCAGTTGGCCATTTGTATGTCTTTTTTGGAAAACTGTCCATTCAGTTCCTATGCCCATTTTTTAATTGGGTTGCTAGTTTTTTTGCTATTGAGTTGTATAAAATTCTTTATTTATTTTGGATATTAACCCCTTATCAGATCTGTGATTTACAGATGTTTTCTCCCATCCCATAGGTTGCCTTTTCATGTTGCTGATTGTTTCTTTAGCTGTGCAGAAGCTTTTAAGTTTGATGTAGTCCCACTTGTTTATTTTTTGCTTTTGTTTCATGTGCTTTAGGTGTCAAATCCAGGAAATCACTGCCAAGAACCATGTCAAGGAGCTTTTCCCCTGTTTTCTTCTAGGAATTTTACAGTTCAGGTCTTACATTGAAGTCTTTAATCAATTTCTAGTTAATTTTTGTGAGTGGTGTAAGATAGGGGTCTAATTTCATTCTTCTACATGTTGTTATCCAGTTTTCCCAAAACCATTTATTGAAGAGACTTCCATTTTCCATTAAGTATTCTTGGCTCCCTGGTCAAATATTAGTTAACTGTATATGCAAGGGTTTCTTTCTGGGCTCTCAGTTCTGTTCTGTTGGTCTGTGTGTGTATTTTTATGCCTCTACCATACTGTTTTGATTACTGTAGCTTTGCAGTATAGCTTTAAATCAGGAAGTATGATGCTTCAAGCTTTGTTCTTCTTCCTCAGGATTGCTTTGGCTATTTGGGGTCTTTTGTGCCTCCATACAAATTTTAGGATTGTTTTTTCTATTTCTGTGAAAAATGCCATTGGAATTTTGATAGCGATTGCATTGAATCTATAGATCACTTTGGGTAATATGGGCATTTTAACAATATTAATTCTTCTGATCCATGAATATGGGATATCTTTCCATTTGTTGATGAAACTTCTTCAATTTCTTTCATCAAAGTCGTGTAGTTTTTAGGGTACAGATCTTTCACCTCCTTGGTTAAATTTATTCCTAAGTATTTTACTGTTCTTGATGCTATTGTGAATGAGATTGTTTTCTTCATTTCTTTTTCAGATGTTTTGTTGTTAGTGTGTAGAAACACAACTGTTTTCTGTATGTTGATTTTTGTGTCCTGCACCTTTACTGAATTTGTTGATTAGTTCTAGCAGTTTTTTGGTGGAGTGTTTAGGATTTTCTATATATAAAGTCGTATTGTCTGCAAACAAAGACAGTTTTACTTCTTCCTTTCCTATTTGGATGCCTTTTATTTCTTTTTCTTGCCTAATTGCTCTTACTAGGACTTAAACAGTACTATGGTGAATAGGAGAGGTGAGAGTGGGCAGCCTTGTCTTGTTCCTGATCTTAGAGGAAAAGCTTTCAGACTTTCGTTAAGTATGGTGTTGGCTGTGAGTGTGTCATATGTGGCTTTTACTGTATTGAGGTATGTTCCTTCTATACCCAATTTTTTTTTTTTAATCTTTTTTTTTTTAAATAATTTTTATTTATTTATTTTTTTCCCCCCAAAGCCCCAGTAGATAGTTGTATGTCATAGCTGCACATTCTTCCAGTTGCTGTACATGGGACGCGGCCTCAGCATGGCCGGAGAAGCGGTGTGTTGGTGCGCACCCAGGATCCGAACCGGGGCCGCCAGCAGTGGAGCGCGCGCTCTTAACTGCTAAGCCATGGGGCCGGCCCTGTGCCCAATTTTTTGAGTGTTTTTATCATGAAAGGATATTGTGCTTTGTCAAATGCTTTTTCTGCATCTATTGAGATGATCATATAATTTTTATCTTTCTATTAATGTGGTGTGTCACATTTATTGATTTGTATATATCAAACCATCCTCATCCCAGGGATAAATCCCACTTTATTATGTTGAATGATCCTTTTAATGTGCTGTTGAATTCAATTTGCTAATATTTTGTTGAGAATTTTTGCATCTATGTTCATCAAGGATATTGGTCTGTAATTTTCTTTTCTTGTAATGTCCTTATCTGGTTTTTGGATCAGGGTAACGCTAGCCTTGTAAAATGAGTTTGGTAGTGTTCCCTCCTGTTCAGTGTTTTGGAAGAGTTTGGGAAGGATTGCTGTTCATTCTCCTTTAAAGGGTTGGTAGAATTCACCAGTGAAACCATCTGGTTCTTGGCTTTTCTGTTTTGGGGGAAGGTTTGGATTACTGATTTAATCTCTTTACTCCATATTGGTCTTTTCAGATTTTCTGTTTCTTTGTAATTCAGTCTGGGTAGATTGTATGTTTCTAGGAATTTATCCATTTCTTCTAGGTTGTCCATCTCATTGCTGTACAACTGTTCATAATAGTTTCTCATGATCATTTGTATTTCTCTGGTATCTGATATAATGTCTCCTTTTGCATTTCTGATTTTATTTACTTGAGTCCTCTCTCTGTTTTTCTGAATTATTCTGGTAAAGGTTTGTCAATTTCGTTCTTTTTTTTTTTTTTTTTTTTTGAGGAAGATCAGCCCTGAGCTAACATCCATGCTAATCCTCCTCTTTTTGCTGAGGAAGACCGGCTCTGAGCTAACATCTATTGCCAATCCTCCTCCTTTTTCTCCCCAAAGCCCCAGTAAATAGTTGTGTGTCATAGTTGCAAATCCTTCTAGTTGCTGTATGTGGGACGCAGCCTCAGCATGGCCGGAGAAGCGGTGCATCGGTGCGCGCCCGGGATCCGAAGCCCGGGCCACCAATAGCGGAGCGCGCGCACTTAACCACTAAGCCAGGGGGCTGGCCTTCAATTTCGTTCTTTTCAAAAAAAAAAATCCCTTAGTTTCAGTTATCTTTATTATTTTCCTGATTAGGGTCTCTTAATTTAACCTTGAGAACAGGAAAGTTCATTGTCAAGGAGCCCTCTCTACAAGTGAGAAGGATGAGTGGGACTTCTCCTGTTTCAACACTTTCTAGAATAGGGTCTATCTTATAATTTCCAAAAGCCTTTGCTTTGAAGTAGGAGTAAAGAAAGAGTCAGAAAAAAATGACCCTCTGTGACTGAATCCCACTAGCAGTGTCATGGGATAAGCCAAGATCAGTGTCTTTAAAATTTTTTGACCACACTCGCGTTAGGAAATACATGTTCCATTAGGACCCCGTCAACACGTGTGGACACAGCTAAAGGTTGTAGGAAGTAACACTGAACTCTGATTATGCTGTTATGCACTCCAGTGCTTTTTATTCTGTTTCTTCCTGTTCATAGTCCATTGCAGGATTTTCTGTTTTGTATTCTTTTTAATGCTGATCCTGACCCACTGAGGGGCCATAAGCTGCAGTGTGACCAGTGCTGCCTGTGCATGGTTGCAGGAGACAGGAGCAGCTGCGGGGTCGTGTCAGAGTTAATGCTCGATGCACCCCACCCCCTGCAGCCTCCATGCCTCCACCCTGCACTTGCATTCATTCTTGGTTTCCCTAGAAATGCTATTCCCAGCTTTTCATGTGACCACATCTTTGTTCTGTACACACTGCCACTTTGTTTGCTGGCCCTGCCATGCAAGCCCCACATCTTTACTCTGAGCACTGATTGGGTGATGGCTCAATGGCCTTCACATATCCAAAGGAAACCCCCACCCCTTAGAGCAAAGGGGAGAGGAAGGCTGAAATCAGAGTCTATAGGGAGGGCATGGCCTCCCTGGATGAGAAACCTGGGCCTGGGGAAGGCTGGGGCGGTGGTGATGGTGTCCGACGGCCAGAGAGATGGATAAGAATGTGCTAAGACCAGGGAGTCAAGCTCAGACTTAGAGAGTCTTGTTCACTCCCTTTCCTCTGCTTCTTGCTCTCTGCAGGTAAATTCTACTGCAAGCCGCACTACTGTTACCGACTGTCTGGCTCCGCCCAGAGGAAGAGACCAGCAGTGGCTCCTCTGTCTGGAAAGGTAATGGTAATCCACCTATAAGTGGGGACAGCAGCAGGCACCCTTGCAGTGTGGTGACAGGTCAGGGTGTGGCCAGCAGGGCCTGCTGAGTGGCCACTGAATTGCCTGTCCTGTGAGTGGGAAGAGCCTGAGAGATGGTCGCAGTCCAGTTTGGGGAGGGAATCAACTTTTCAAGCATAATCTAGTGTTGCATTTCATAAGGTGATGTTCTATCCACCAACTGAGTCAGACCTGGGAGACTATGGCAGCCCCTCCCTTCTGTTTACTCTGTGTGAAAGAAAATTTTTACCTTTGTAAATAAGCCTCTTTCTGGAGAAGGACACCCTGAAAAGGAACTTGGCTGTAAATAATCTGCTCTGCCTGCCAATTCCTTTAACTTTCTTTATTCTGTAAATTACTTATCTAAGATCTTTTCTTCTTTTTTACTGTTTTTTTAAATGAGAGTAACCAGCTGCCCCACCTGTCTTTGTCAAGGTGAACCTGGTGTTCCCACACTGTGCTGTTGCCCCGTCAGCGTGCAGGCGCCTGCTGCTCCCCTGAGGGGCTTCTGCTGCCTGCAGAGGGGCTTCTCGGGAAAGGTATACTAGGGGATCTAGATTTTGACTCCTGGTGTCTTCTACGTGAAATATATCCTTGTTTTTTAAAGAAAGACTTCCTGTATGAGGAGTAGCTCTGGCTGACTGGTGAGAGCAGCAAACTAGCCAGTCAGGTGTCACTGCTGCCTGAGATTTGAGTGCTTCTGTCCAAGTCACTCCTCCTTTTCTTGCGGACTTTCTTAGGAGGCCAGAGGACCCCTGCAGGATGGCCCCACTGCAGATGCAAGTGGACGGGCCAGCACCGGTGCCAGCCCTGCTGAGAGAACTCCAGGTAGCCTCACTTCCTTGTTTGGCTGGGTGGTGCATCACTCTCTTGGCCTCTGTGACAAGGCCAAGGGGATGAGCCAGCACCTCCGAAGCAACATTTCTTCAATTGGGCATCAAGTGGCCCAAAACCCTTTGGACTCCTTTTTCATGTGCCAGCTGCTTGCATTCGGAGTCCCCTTCCTCTATGGCCTGTCGGAGGTGCTGGTACAAATCAGAGGGGAGTTTCACTGGCAGACCGTGAGCCAGTAGGGGCGCCATCTGGTAGGCAGTATCTCCGAGCTTCAGTAACGTCTGCTCAGAGTCTCAGAGTACTACTGCTGTAGCCTGGGTGTGCGCACAGCCATCAGACACGTGGGGTGGTTGGTCTGAGCCCCGTCTAGGTAAACAGGCCTTCAGAACAGGCTCCTTTTATCACTGGTCTGAGTGAAAATCCAGAGTTGCAGAGCCTTCTTGTAGTTCCTTGTTTCGAACTCCTTTAACGAGCATGGAATTGTGATAAGGCCCCGTGATCTGGATTTGTGTTCATCTGAACTTGAGATTCTTGCATCTCATTCCCTGTTGAGGTGTCTAGATGAGCTGACACTGCTCTTTTGTTTGACGTGTACCCACTAAAGGACATGACTTGTGCTGATCACTTTGGGGCGTTTGAACTTCTAATGAGGATCAAGCCCTAATTTGTCCCACTTTCACTAACCGTTTACTTGTGTCAGGAGGTGAATGACACCATCCCTACCTCTAAAAATACATTTGTTCTGGGAAAGGCTCATGGGCACTAGGCTTGTTGTGAAGAACTGTGTGTTTTTCCTTAAAATTGCCTCTCTCTGCTTTATGTCAAACCAGCCTGTGAGATGTGTCCACAGTTGCGCAAACTGCTGGGTGGTCCTGATGCCCTCAGTACAGCCCAGATGTTCACAGCCCAGGGTCGCTGTGTAGGGGAGAGAGGACATCAACAGGGCCATGTTTCTGCTTGTCACAATTTCCTCTCATTCGGAGAAAATATGTCTCAAGCAGCCATTTACAATCTCCTTTTATATGGTAATCTCAAAAATTACCATATAAAAACTAAAGATTATCAGCTAATGCCAGAAACTATGGAGAAGAAGCTGGTAGTGGAATTTCCATAATGGGCAAAGAGAAGAATTGTACCTTTGGACGTCAAATGAGAGGTCCCCAGAGTTTCTGAGTTTCTTCTTTCCCTGTGCTTCAGCGCTGACATGAGCTGTGGTGCTGGTTCTGGGAGAGGAGAGTGTGCCCAGAGGCTGGTGGTCCCCCTGGGTGCAGTAATGTGGAGGCTGAGACACAGCAAACCCCAGGCGAGCTAGGTGGACTTGGCTCCTGCTGCTGTGTGTGCCCTGTTACATCTGGGAAAGCTTTTTAAGTGCCCTGCAGGTTAGACCAACATTTTCTAGCGATGTTTAAGCCACGAACAACTTGGACACCTTTGGCCTTGGGACCCTGTGCAGTCTGTCTTCCACATGAAGTGCTGACACTGCAGGCGGCACTCTCAGAGCACCAGGGGAGGTGCTGGCAGAGAAACATAACCAAGTACTCTAGACAGAGGCTCAGCTTTGCGCCCTAGAATGTGCGTTGGACCAGTTGAAAGCGCTACCATGCGCTACCATGTTGGTCTGGGCCTTGTTCCAGCAGAGATGGTTTTTCCAAGGAACCTGGCTACTCAGTAAAACAACTCACAGAAATTAAACTTTCTTTTTGGGTACAGAGTACAGAACATTCTCAACAAAGAGCTAAGCATAGTGAAGTTCAGGTTGTTCCGAGCAAGCCAAGTGTGTTCACTTTCCCATCTGGTCCTGTTGGCCATTCTTACTGTCTAGTTTGAAAGCATAATGGATTTCAGGTTTTTAGGACTTCTAAAGAATGAAGGGTTGCTTAGAGAAGGAGAAGAATATTCTACAAGGCAGGGAGAGAAGATGAGAGCTGGCAATGTTGTTCAAGAATCACAACAACCAAGAAAGAATCAGAGCCCTGAGGGTGTCTCTGTCGTCATGGTTCTTGATCCTCTGTTGGCACAAGGGGCTCACACTGTGGCATCCCAAAGGAGTCACACCTGAACCCCTAAGATGAGTGAGGCAGGAGCTGTCCCCCTAGTTGAAGGTGCCGTCTAGGCAGGGGAAATACCAGAGCTCGTGGGATTCAGTCTCTGCCTCTGGAGACTTAAGCTTTTGGAAATTATAGCTCTGAATCTGAACATGCTTCAAAGCACCAGGACTTTTCCTAGGTGGTGTCTAATTAGGCTCTGTAGAAAAAGAACAGAATTATGGGAAGTATTTTGTAGTTATGAAATAGATTTCTTTTTCTCCTTTGATAGGGATTTGCTTCTTTAAATCCCACACTAGGGCTGGCCCCATGGCTTAGCGGTTAAGTGCGCACGCTCCGCTACTGGCGGCCTGGGTTCGGATCCCGGGCGTGCACCGACGCACCGCTCTCCGGCCATGCTGAGGCCACGTCCCACGTACAGCAACTAGAAGGATGTGCAACTATGACATACAACTATCTACTGGGGCTTTGGGGGGGAAAAAAAAAAGGAGGAGGATTGGCAATAGATGTTAACTCCGAACCGGTCTTCCTCAGCAAAAAGAGGAGAATTAGCACGGATGTTAGCTCAGGGCTGATCTTCCTCACAAAAAATAAATAAATAAATAAATAAATAAATCCCACACTAAAACTTTGATCAATTAACTAGAATTTCCTTTTGAAAAGCTTCGGAAAAACTCAGGTGTTTCAGGGTTCCAGAATGTGTGTCATGGATGGCAGTCATTAACCCAGATCCAAGTGCATCTCCTCTCTGCACCCTAGACAAGAAGCTGTAAGGGATGCACTTGATTCTACCTGTGTAAACAAACTGCCTCCTAGATCCACACCCCAAGAGGTGGAGCCGGGGAAGCTGTGACTGTGCTGTGCTCCTGCTCTGTGCCTCCTCTGCATTTTGTGGCATTTCCCTCTTCTCCCTTATGTTCTTTTCCCTCCTGCCAAAATTACTGCTGTTGCCAAGAAACCAAACACAAACCCACAAGTTAAAAGAACCTTCTCTAGACCTGCTTTACGGTGTTGTCTTTCTCCAGTAACCTAATCTGTAACTGTGGCCTCGTTTAATGTTTGGAGGACGTTGTTTACAGTGTTTTTGTGTGTAATGTGCTTTCAATATAGAAACCCTCTTTCTGTTCTCCAAATCTCTGAATGCTTTGTTTCCAAGCTCTTGCACTCACTGCTACAGATCAGTGGGCCTAGCACATATTTTCCTACCCTGGCCTCATAGTACCTGCCCTGACTTTAGGAAAAGTCTGGACAACAATAGGCAGAGAAAGAAAAACCCCAAAGGGGATATTTTCCCCTTGGATACAAGACCCTCAGTTGCGGGTTTTTTGGATCCTTTTTTTGTCTGGAGAAATCTCCTTTACATCTCATGTAACCAAAAGTGAAGCGTCAAGGCAATGGGATAGCATAAAAAGGGAATAGAAGAGCTTTTCTTCTAGTCCAGGCAACAGGGATGGGATGGGAGAAACACTTCAGTTGTCTATCGTCTTATGGAAAAGATGAGCTTAACTTAAAAAGCCGCTTAGCAGAGAAACAAGTGGTGGGTGCCTGTTCCCTGTCCCCGGATGCCCCTTGCATGATCACTGTTAGGTTCCAGAGTTTGGATGCTGAATGGGCCACTAGAAAATGCAGGCGTTTCCCATACCAGCTAGAACAACCATGCAGTACAAGGAATTCCATTCAGTCCTGGGGATCCTGCCTGTCAGGGAGAAACGAGGAAATTTTCTCACTGCTTCTCAAGCCCTCTTCCCTTATAGGCATTTCTGGAAAACCTGTTAGTAGAGCAAAGAGAATTTTGCAATCCTGCTTAACTCTACAACCCTACCCCAAGAGTCATAGTTGATGGTGATATGTGAATATTTATATATATTTATATGGGTTTAATTTCATATATACCAGTAGATATTTATATATTGTGCCCTAAATAATAATAATGAAGCTCTTTCTAAAGCTTCTTGTTTCTTGGTTCTGGAAACCAAGGGAGTTTTTACACTGGGGGCCATGCTGCTGGCCTGGCTTGGTGTTCTGTCGGGATTTGGAGGAAACAGAGCAGTCCAGCACACCTGTGGAGGGGAGACTGGGGGTGGATATCTCAGAAAATGAGAAGTGCACACTCCCAACCTCGGAGAGTTGAGTCCAGAGCAGACTGGGAAGCTGGGTTCTGTTGCTCGTGGACTACCACAGGGAGCCAGACACCCCCCTCCCTCTGCTTTGCTCTCAGTCGTGAGTGTTGGATCCACTGCGTTCATGACTGCGTCTTTTCCTGTCTCTAGTGTGTCTCTGTGGGACAGTGGAACATTTTTAGTCCCTTCTAAAAGGGGCCTCAGCGTGGCCTCGAAGGCCTGACTAGTGAATTAAGGGGTTCCCTTTTTTCTTGTGCCGTTCAGCTTGGGGTGGAGGCAAGCGTGGGGGAGGGTGGGCAGCAAGCCTGGTTGCCACGGCCTGGTGCAGAGAAGCCAGAGCAAGGGGGATGAGCTGCACAAGGGGCGCTCCGCCTGTCCACTTTGGGCCTTCCCTAAAGCCTTTGTTTTCGCCTTGTTTTTAACCTGTGCTGTTGTGAGTTTTTGGTGTGTTTCTTTGTGAGTTATTTAATTTCATTGTGTAACTTTGTTTTTGCCGTTACTGTGAAACTAAGGTGTTGTGCTTTTAATTTTTTTTAACAAATGTTATCATTCTTCTTTAAGAGAATAAATTCCAAACAATCTTCAGGTTTCTGAGTTTTTCTTTTCCTTCCCTTTTTCCTGATTGGGGGGTGGGAGGGGAGTAGCTCAGGCAGGTCTCCAGAGTGGGCTTGCAGGCCGTTGTGCCTCGGGACTCTCACTTCTGGGGTGGGTCGGGGAGAGAGTGCAGATGTATTAAAATGGGGAAACAGGGGGTTTATACCTGAAATACAGATTCCCGTTAACGGCGGGGGACCCTATTTGGTGGGGTTGGCATGGTGGGAGACATTTT